CACTGAAAAAACTGTAAACCAAGATGTCCTCCAAATAGGTGAATGTATTCACTAATCATAGTGCAGCCATACCATGGAACAATACTCAGCAATAAAAACAAATGAACTATTGAAACACTTGATAACTTGCACATATAAGATACACTGAAATACGTGAAAGAAGGCCATACCAAAAGGTACATACTATAAGACTCACTTATAAGACATTAGCGAAAAGAAAACTACAGAAAACAGACTCATGGATATTAAGTGCAAAGACACAATATGAGTACAGACTTTTGATCTGATATGATAAAACTTTTCTATATTCTAACCATAGTAGTGATTACACAAATCCATACATGTATTAAAGTTCACAGAACTGTACATAAAAAAATCCATGTACTATAGGTGATTTTAAAAATAACACACTACTCTGCTCTTTCCCATCTTTTATTTGCTTTCTTTTTATTCTGAAATTTGTCATTCATTTTCACTCTCCTATAATCCCTATTCCATCATTTACATGCTCTAACTATAGTAAATGTTTTAATATTTTCAAGTATGTTTTCTCTTGATGTCAGATCTTCATTCATGCTGACAATCTACAGTAAAAATCAATGTCTTGGCAAACTCTTATTCATTTTTCTGGCTTAAGTAAATATAGTACTTTTTGGGGGGTACTGGGGATCAAACTTGGATCCTTGTGCTTGTGAGGCAGGCAGTGGAACTAGTAAATATACTACTTCTAAAATGCCATCTTTATTTTCTGCTCCTGGGCTGCATTAGCTGTTCCTGCCTGGGATAGTTAATCATGATTATGCACTGGACTGGCGTGAGATTTTTAGAGCACACTAGTGGGTGTGTCTAGATGGGTCACGGGGACTATATCTGGTACATGGCCCCATCCTCTCTTGAGCTCTTCCCCTGCTCTGCCTTCTTTGCCACCATGAAGTGAGCATATTCCATTGTTATGATGTTTGCCTTGGAGCCAGCCAACTACAGACTCAAACATTAGAAACCATGAACCAAATGAAACCTTTCCTCCTTTAAGTTTCAGGTATTAGGTATTTTGTCCCAGTTACAGGAATGCTGACCAGTAGCCAGCCACAGGATGCCACAGCATTCATTAATATATGTTCCATTTATTTCTCACCCACTAGTCTATGAGTTCCATGAGAGCAGGGATAAGAGCTATTTTGTTCACCAAGTAATCCTTAGTGCCAACTCTGTGTAAGGTACAGAACAAATTTCCCATCATGAATGCTCTAAGATTTATTCTCTTCTTGAAGATTGAGATAAACAACTTGGTCCCACTTGAAAGCAGACAGAAAAACTTACCTTACACTTTGCTTATCAAAATAGAAAATTATTTCAAATACTTTTGCTTGTGATATTCACTTAAAATTTATGTCTTCTCTTTATGTTCTTTCTTTTGTCTCCTCCCCTCTCCCACCCAACTTGGCAGTACTAGGAATGAAACCCAGGGCATGCTAGGCAAGCTCTCTACCACAACGCTAAATCCCCAGCTGTCCTTTTGTCCTTTGTGCCATAAAATTTCCCTTCATGCTTAATGACAATTTGTACATTCTCTTAAGTGTCAGTGTCTACATCCTAAATCTCTTTTAATACAAAATGTTTCTAAATAACTTTCATCAATTAAAATTTAAATTCCTTTTATCTGGTACTCTACATTTACGGCTTTCTAAGAAACAGTTTTACAATCTAATAAACAAATATCACTTCAGTCAAAATAATAATAATATGGTTAATCCTGTATGAGATCTATCTAGCCTTGTTATTCAAATTAAAAAAAAAATCAAAGTCTAGAATTCTGGATTTCATTAACAGCAATCTCTGCAGAAATAAAACCATATTTAGGAAACTAAAGAATTAAAATGACTGCTTTAGGTGGCATTTTTAAGCATAGTTTTTAATTCTAAGTATAGTTTAATTCCATCAGTTGTAAACTTTATTGTAACAAAACAAATATGCATAGATACTATTACATTTTGTAGATTTGTGCTCAAAAGTAAAAAACCCCAAATATGGAAGGAGAATGGTCATTCATTCATCCATTGAGGTAGGGTCTCACTATATACCCAGGCTGGCCTCAAACTCCTAACAATTCTCCTGCCTCAGCCTCCTATGTGCTGGTATTATCAGCACATACCATCCCACCTAGCTGAGAATGAAGGAACATTTTAAAGAAGGTAAGAAGCTCAAAAGAGACTTACATTTTAAATAAAATCATACAAAAGATTTCCAAGTCACAAACATAGTTAGAGGAAGGCAGGTCAACCAGTTTTTAAAGGAAAGACTGACAGAAGTTTGTGAAGCTAAGAACTAAAGCTTCTGTTCCACAACATGCTCAGGTGAGATCCTAATGGATAAAACTATTACATAGAAGTCGACTTTGAAAACATAAATGTCTATGTCCTTGTATGGATCTGTGCATTGAAATATATTCAAAATATTCACCTAAGGAAAATCCAGGCTCTTAAGTCCCTTTTGGCCCCATATTGAGCTCAACAATTTGTGCCAAAAGAATAAAAATCGTATTACTAATTAAACCAATGATTATCTATAAGTCTGAGAACAGCTGTACTCCAGGTTCTTCTAAAAGAGTACAAGGAATGATCAAAATGTATGGTGAAAGTTTCAATTCTAAAATGTTTTGCAGTCAAAGACACTACTATTCAACCCCCCTCACTTTGAACACACTTATCCCATCATTCTTGTCACTTTCTAAAGCAGGTCTGGAAGTCCTCTTTCATGTGTGTCTTTACAAGGTGTGATGAAAATACAGTGACTGCTGCTACTGAGTGCTGTCCAAGGGAAAGGCAGGCTCACAAAGACATTTCAATGTGTGTGTTCTCATTCACTTACTGTATTACCAGATCATAAGACTTCTGCCTCTTACCCAAAGTCAAAATGACCATGAATGGTAAACATTTTAAACCAATTCAGGACATGGAGGAAGCCACAACAGTGCAACTAAAGATACAAAAGTCTTCTAGAAGTGCTTCAGAAATAAGTACCCTTGAGTTGTAACTGGCTTCACCTATGAACAGTTTGAATTACAACAAGAATTTTGATTTTAACTTATAACCAAAGTCTTGAGTTATAACCTGAATGCTGGTCTTTCCTATTTGAGGTTAACTGAGAAATCCTGGGCCACTGCTGTCTCTCTAAGGACACTGAGATCTACCTGGAGGAAAGTGTGGCCTAAAATTATATAGGAGAAGGGGGTGGGGATTTAGCTCAGTTGTGCTACCGCCTGCCTCACAAGCACAAGGACCTGAGTTCGATCCCCGGTACCTAAACAAATAAAATAAAATAATATAGGAGAGAGACTTTGAAGGCTGTACAGAGAAGCCTGAGCCTTCCAACCGACCTTGTGGTTGATGACATTATCACTAGTAGAGTCCATAAGCCTTGTACACAGTGGTGATGTTGAGGAACTAACTGGTGGAGGAACATTCAGAGGAATTATGTACAGAGGAACTTCAGCAACTTCTAACTAAGCCACAGAGAATGGGAGCCGAGGAGCTTTCTGACAAGGAGGGGGAACTATCAACAATCAGGGCAGTAAGTTCTTCTTCTAAAATAAAGGAAATCCTGAAAAAAATGGACAGAGTTACAAACATTTGTAGAGAAGACCTGCCCAGACAGAGAAAAGCCAATCGTTGCATTCACTTGCTTAATGACAATGTCATGTTACACAGAACAGTGTTAAAGAAAAGACAGAAACAGATGATCTTCAACCAATTTTTAGTTCTGAAAAGACTGAAACCTAATAAGCCAGAAGCAGATCCTAGTGGGCTACAGGATCTCTCTCAAGGAGAGAAAGGATACCAGAGGGCCAGATTCCTGATGTTCTTATGGAAGGGGACTCTTCTTTCATTTAATTACCACCTTCCATTTCATCCTCCTTTTCTGCAGCCAAAGGTGTCAACTTGAATGGTGAGGACAGCATGAAATTGTTGTTTCTGGTAGTCCAGACATACTTTATAACATTGTGGTGAATACACTAGGAAAAACTGGTGTTTCTGGTAAATTACACACATTGTACAATCCTTTTTTATTATGAAAAGATTAGTGAAGGGGTGCTTTGGGAGGATCAGAATGCATTACAGGTATTTCCATTATTTCTCATAGCAAAAATAGTTTTGATTTACAACCAACTTGAGTTACAACCAGCCCTAGTGAAAGAACTGAGTTCATGAGTCAAGAGTCCAATGTATTCTAATAGTATTTCAGAAAGTGGAAGGATGAGATAAGTGTATTTGAAGCAAAGGGAAATGTTTTTTGGGGGGCAGTAGCAACAGGATTTTATTGGAAGAAATTTAAAAATTCAAACATATTTTCTCATCATACCAAGCATAACATGTATAACTTCTTCATTAGGAAATCATAAGAAGGAATATAGGCACAAATGAAGGGTAGTCACTCACAAATATAGTTACAGCAAGAGGAACTTTCTGAGGCAAAAAAATCTGACACACAAAGAAGTGTACAGGAAAGGCCAAAGACTACAAAATCTTTTTTGTTGTTGGTTTTGTTTCATTTTGTTTTGAGACAGGGGCTTACTATGTAGTTCAAGCTCTGAACTCATTATGTAGCCCAGGCTGGCCTTCACCTCATCGCAATCCTCCTGCTTTATGACCCCCCCCAAGAGCTGGGATTACAGAGGTGCCCCACAACGCCTAGTTTTTAGATTCAATTTTAATAAAGCGATGGGGGAAGATGAAAAAGAAATGTTAATATTTTCCATTTGTGCTTTATAAAAAATCTTAAAATGATACTACGAAATGATAATGTCTTTTATGACCATGGTTAGTGAAGTATACAGAAACCATTTTTCTTATTAATCTATTTTTGAAAAATAAGTATTCTAAAAGTATTGTCTTCCGTCGTCTATAAAAGTTATTTTATAACATAAAACACTACCTGGAAGAAAAGGGATGAACAGTTCACTTAATGAACTCAAAAATTTCAAAGTAAGCTTTTGCACTTACCCTTGCATAGTGGAATTCAACTCCATACAGTTCTAAGGTACGTGCTGTATTTAGGTAATTAAATTCTGCTTCTGCAGGAGATAAGCCTCTGTGAAGACATAATTAAACTAAAATTAGATTCACTGCAATATGGCCAAATCAGAAAAAGGATATTTATCAGGAAATACAAGCAGTTTATTTAAATCTAAAATATCCACTAAGACTACTCCTCTTAGTTCTGTACAGTAACATCTAATTAACTTATTTGGAGGTCATACTTTCAATAATCCAAATTATTATCTTCCAGAATATTTTCTTATTTTCTACAAATGCTAGAATACAGCATTTCTAAAATGCCCGACTGGTCTGATGAATGTAACAAAGCCACTTACTTTTAGACACTACTTAAAAGCATTACTTCTCAAAAATGCTTCATACACCACAGGTCCACTCAATAACACATAGAACTTCTAAGACATGCACATCCTAAGATTATTTCCAGAGAAGTGCATTTCATGGTGTGGTGGATAGATAGGTACTGATTCACAAGTACAGAACTGAGCTTGTTAGACACTGTGCGTGCATGTCTGTGAGGGTGTGTGTGTGTGAGAGAGAGACAGAAAGAAAGAGAGACAGAGAGAGATACAGACAGAGACAGACACCCCCCACACACACAAGACTGAACCCAGGGCCTCACCCATGCTAAGCAAGTCCCCTACCAGACCCCTACCACTGAGCTATGTCCAAGCCCTTTTTCTTTCATGTTGAGACAGAAGGCTACTAAGCTGCTCAAGCTAACTGCAAATCCATCATTCTACTGCTTCACTTTCCTGAGTAGCTGGTTTTACAGGTGTCCATTACTGTGTCTGACTAAAGAAATATTTTTATTAATGAAGTATTACATCAAGTTCCTTTCTCCTCTTGGCTTATTAACAAACAGAATAAACACCTCTCAACTAAAACCTAAGAAAGAATTATCAATTAAATTGATCTGTGTATTCTGAATATATTAATGTTCTAAAATTCTTGTTAGCTGACAATTTCACATAACAAATATACTTGTTTACATATAATTTTATGGTTGTAACAGAAAGGAAAAACAAGTCATAGTTTATAAAACAAGCCATGTTACACATTTTCATATAGATCAACTATATTTCTATATAATGATAGTATTTTATATAATGGTAACTATTCTATATTAAGTACAATGAAAGTAAAAATAATTTAACTCGAGAAAGCATACTGCAAACAAGCAAAAAACAAAATAAATTCTTACGTATGCTGCTGATGTAATTTTGCAATTTCTTTTTCAAAATCTTGAGGTTGATTAGGAATGAAAGAATAATCTGAGAGGTAGCCTGGCAAGTTTTCTGACTGATTGTAGTCTCCAAGTTCAGCTAATAACAGTAAGAAAATACTTACACTTTAATAAACAAAAAATTTTCTCTTTATTATCATTATTATTATTATCATTTGTGGTACTGAATATTGAACCCAGGGCTTTCCCACTGGGCTATATCCCCAGCCATTTATGATTTTTTGTTTTGAGACAGGGATTCACTAAGTCACAAAGTTGCCCAGGCTGTGCTCAAATTTGGAATATTCCTGCCTCACTCTGCCTCAGAGTGTTGAGATTATAAATGTACACCACCAGACTTTGCAAATTTTTAAATTATTATAGCCTTTCAGCAATGTCATTAATCCATTGTATTTCTGGAAGTAAAATATTTATGTCTCTAACTTAACTACTAAAGGAAGTTATAATAATTCATTTAACATTCTTCTACCACTCAAACAACTTTAGAGCAAATTTTTTTCAAGAATCAGAATAACTGCTAAGTAGATATATCATGCTAAGTAGATATATCATTTTCAGTAAAATTTCTATTTTCTGCACAGTAACATGTCAAAAGAACTCCTGCATTAAAGGCAATACACTATCAACACAGAAAACAAAATCATGGGCTATTTGACCTAAATGTGAGGTGATACTTACACTGAACAGCAAATGAAGCTAAAAGGGCAGCAGTATTATAAGGACAGGGCAATCTAATAAAACAAAAAAAAATATATAACCCAGGGTTAAACATCAATAATTTAAAGAGCGCTATAGTTTGTTATACTATTCACATGTAAAGTATGTGCCTTAAGAAATAAACTTATCTGATGAGAGAAATTGATACTACATATACTCGTTCTTTGATAACTTACAACGATCATGAATTACTTCACTAATATAGAATTAAAGAGTTTTTTAAAAGCCTATTTCAAAAATATAAAATAACCCACCTTCCAGTTAAAATGTCTTGTTTTATTTGCAAAAAATACTGGTACCTTAAAAAAAAAAGATAGCATTTACTAAATTATAACAATTCCAATTCCAAGAAACTGTACACTTACTTTAAAAAATAAAATACAAATATTTAAATATTTGCTTTCACAATCTACATATCAACATATGTAATGTTAACATGTTTTCATTAGCACATACTTTAAGCTTTCATAAATTCATGAATGCCCATTTTTAAAATTCTTTGATATATGAAATTTTGTACTTCAAATGTCTTGCTTCTATTATAAAATGACTCAAGATTATAAAATTGTATCACCAAAGGAGAAGATTAACGAGAAATATTCTGAGGGTTGGTATATGTAGAAAATAGAACTGATAAGCATCTCACACACAGGAAAGGTGACATCAACACATCAGAAAATAAAGAGAATCATTCTTTTTTCTGAGAGAAGAGGTCAGCAGTAAAGATAGGCCTATGTTTAGATCATTTTATCATTAGGCTGTCATAGAAAAGCAACTATCTACTTTCAGTTGAGTTGAGGGCTTTCTCTGATCAGAAAAATAACCTAAGTTCTTCTTCCTACTATTGTTCTATTAGTAGGAAATCATCTAATTTCAGAAAACTAGATTTCCTTTAGGATCAACTTTTGTTAAAGGATATGTAAGTATACTCTAACAAGACTTTGAGGTTGCTAAGATATGGTTTTGTCTTTCTGTTCCTGGTGCTTGTGAGAGACTGCTTGGGCCTGCATAAGATGGCTGCCCTCAACCTTAGCCTTTGCCTCGGTGGAAAAATCCCACTAGACTACATACGTGACCTTGGCAGGTCTAGCCCCTGGGCAAACAGGAAATCTTACAGAAAGAATAGCCCTTTGTGCTAACCACAGGGTCACGGGATCTGGAGCAGGAAGCAGGTGGTATTTCCCCCGTCCTACTTGCCCCTAGGGATTGTGAAGTTAAAGATTGCATAGGGTTAATTGTTGATGTACGCCTTCCCACTTACCCCTCCCCACATTTGGTAAAATACTGATTGCTGTATGGTTAAATGCTTGAGTGACTCATGTGATTGATTTGTTTGAACTGTCCAATAAGCTTGCTGAACCTTCCCCCTGGGATAACAGTATATAATCGTTTTGCTGAGCCAATAAAGCGCCTTTGATCAGAAACCAGACTTGGGCCGTGTACTCTAACTTCTTAAAGATTTCCTCCACAGACATTCAAGATCGGATCGGCCTCTGATGACCCACGAATAAGAGGCGGCTCTCATCTCCTATTCCCCGCGGGACGGGGTCCCCCCAGAGAGCCGCAGGTGCTGAGTAAGACCTATTCATTATCAATACCTGGGCAACTGTATGATGATAACTGTATGATGTTGGCAGAAGAATGAATTTTTGTCATTAAATGTTTAAAAAGGGAATTTTAAGAGATTTCTTTTATTCAACTAAAAATAAGAGTACATATCTCAAGAATCAAAGCTCATTTAAAAATCCTGCCATTAATTATCTCTGAGAAAATATTCAAATTACAAAAGAATATAATTAAGATTTTCAGAGAATCATCTATCACACACACACACACACACACACACACACACACACACACACACACACACGTCCTGGCTTTATATATTAATGAAGTACATAAACTCCTTGTGAGGCTTAATAAATAGTATAAATACTATCTACTTAATATTGTATATTTTTTAGGTCTACTTGGTATCATATTAAAAGTTAAATCATAATAAAAGATGGACTGGGAAGTAGCTAAGAGTAAAGCACATGCTTAGCATGTGCAAAAGTCTGGTTTTGGGTTTGATCTCCAACACTGAAGAAAAGGAAGGGGAAGGAAGAGGGAAGAGAAAACGGGTTCCTGGTGTGGAAACAACTCAATGGTTAGCATTTAAAGGTTATCTGTAACCTTGTTATGGTTTATATCTAGATGTACCCTCAAAGCCTCAAGTGACCCTAAGTGAGGCTTTGAAGGTGACTGGACCTCAGGGCATGATAGTCATCAGTGCATTAGCCCACTGACGGTTTACAGCTGACTGTGATGTTGGAGGGTAAAGCCTGGAGGGAGGAGGTGGATCCCTGGGGGCATGGCTTACAAGGGTATACTGCCCTTCCTCTGCCCCTGTTCTTTTCTTTTGTTTTCTGCCATCATGCATGAGCCACTTCTTTACCATGCTCTTCTGCCACATTTGCCCTGCTTTGGAGGCAGCCCACTACAGACTAAAATCTTATAAACTGTGAGCCAAAATAAACTTCTCCTCCTTTGAGTTGTAGGTGGTAAGTATTATGTTTCAGGAACAAGAAAAGTAACTAAGACAATCCTTGACATGATATTTTAAGTCCTACACAAATAATACCTATTCTTGCTGAATTTTAATCACAAACTCTTTTAATCAAGCAGGATTATTGCAATAGAAACCAGGATTCAACTTCTAGGCTATCAGCCTGTGTTCTGAGGCAAATTAGTTAAAAATAGGCTGAACCTTGCTTTCTGTATGTGCAAAAAGAACTAGTATCACTTTCCTAGTGTATGTATCTTGGGAACTGGAAAAATCCAATTTTAACAATGCCAGCTTTGCCAATGCTGCATAATATTTAACCTGATGGAGCTCTCTGACACCACTCTTTTTTCCCCACTAATTCAAAGTGGTATGTCAATATAAAAAGTTATCACAGATTTCTGGGTTGTGCGGGGAGGTGGGTCTAAACCAGTCCTAAAAATTTAGCAATTCTGGCCAAGCGTATCCTTGTTACTAATTATGATCATCATATTAAAGCTACCCAAGCACTAAGAATATTTCTCAATCCTCACTCCCTGAGGAGCTGATTAGATCACCTCTAAAACCTACTAATTCAGAATGTCTCAGGTATGGCCAGTTAGTATTCTTTACAGCTCTCTTACTTGATTTTAATTTGTAATTAGAAGCACTGATGTACTTCACAGTAACTAAAAACTAGCCATGTAACACATTTTACCAAATAGCATCAGTTATAAGATTCTATATCAGAGGGCTGGGGATTTAGCTCAGGGGTACCACACCTGCCTCGTAAGCACAAAGTCTTGAGTTTGATCCCCAGTACCCCTCCAAAAAAAAAAAAAAAATCTGCATTAGAGTGGCTTTGTTTGTACAGTGGTACTAGGGATTGCAATCAGGACTCACATATGCTAAGCAAGCACTCTATCATCAAACTACTTCCCAGTCTTTTTTTTTTTTTTTCATAATTTTGAGACAAAATCTCCCTAAATTATCCAGGCTGACCTTGAATCAGTGATTCTCCTTCCTCATTGTATAGTTACTAGATTGCAGGTGTGTGCCACCACACCCAGCTATAAAGAGTTTTGAAATAAAACAAAGATAACCTAGACCACTAGTGGTGAGCCTGTAGCATACTGCTGCAGCAGGCTGTTTCTTAACAGTGGGAAAGCTCTAAAAGGTTCCCATCACTGACCCAAACTAAAGGATTGAGCATAATTTTCAATGACTGAAACCTGTTTTACTTTCTTTACCTTCAAGAAGCTCTTCTGACTTATCAGTGAAACAAATTTATTCCTTGGTTATGTTTGCAGTACAGGCTATGAAATAACTCATTCAAGTTCCATTCAGAAATTCAGTTTTTCAGTGAAGTAAATTGTGACGCCGGTTATAACTGACAATATGTTAACTGCTTGCATAAAGTTATCATAAACATTAAACATGTTAGAAATCCAATTTTAAATTATTTTATACACTTTAAAGTTTGATTACATAAGACATACAGTATGGAACATTTTGTTATATGATTTAGTTATATGTACCTGAAAATAATAAAGTGCACCTAACACTGTCTTATAATTCAGAATATTCATTAATTCAGAGTATTTACATTGGAGTTCATGTAAAATCTGAGGAAGTTTTACTATACCAAGTATTGCTTATTATAATAAAGGATCTTGTCATTTTAATTAACAGCAACAAAATGTGATTAAGGGCAAAAATGCTGGTTAAAGGGTATTTAAACAATAGAACTTTGTTTCTTAAGATAAATTAGTTTGAATTCTACTAGTTGAAAATGTCAGGCCTGCCTTAGTCCAAACCTATATGGTTGACTTTTTCCATTTAAAAAAAAATAATACCCAGCCTCCCCCAACAAACACAAAGAAAAGAACTCTCATAAATTTCAATCTAATTTTTCTTACTTGGTTTAATATTAAAAGACTCTACAGAAACTTGATAGTATCTTAGGCCAAATATCCTTAATTTAGCTATTTTCCCCTCCACTTCAGCATGGTATGCTAAACTATAGCTAATACATTAAAATTTAATAATTTGGCTATAGGTGTGAATTTTTAAGTTTGGCACCTATGTTTTGGAGTAATTCCAAAACTAGTTTAGGTACCCCAGCCCCCAAGCAGGACTACTTTATTCCCTCATTATGTTTTCAGTATAGATCAAATTAGTGTATTTTTTGAATGAGGACAGCTTTTAAGGATTGCAACCTTGGGACCTGAGGTTTTATTCAAATTCCAAGACTAATTTAGATCCCCCAAAACCAGAATGCAGTCACTGACCTATATTCTTATATCTAAGAATTTTAGAAGGTATAATATTTTAATTCTTTATTCTGTCTTTTGTTTAACTGATTTCTAATTTTGCCTTTCAAATAATGCACAAGGTTATCATTTATATTATTTTAATGACAGCCATCACACGTGGTCAGTACTTATTTCTAACCCTGAGCATTTTATCTAACATCCAAGATCAGTATCAAAATGCTCATTTGTATCATTTTTGTATATATATTGTCAACAAGGAGGCACAACAAAATAAGTTCATGAGCTCAGATCTCAAAAGGGAAGTAAAGTGGCCTGTAAAGTCCTGGGTATGCTAGCACACCACCCATAACTTCCTTCATAAATAAAGTCCACTGCATTTTCTTTGGAATCAAAAATTAAGAACACACATTGGGAAAAGGTATCTATTGACCATTTTTCTCCATTTGATGGTTATATATTTCAGAAATTCTGTTTCCCTCAATGAAAAAAAATACAGAATATACTTTTACATGGAGAAAAAGCATTGAAAATGCTCATTCTATTCATTATCCTTTGGATATAATTTCAGTGTCATTTATTACTTCATTTAATTATAGTAGCATTCCTTAACCATTTGTTCATAAATAGAAAAATTTAATATTTGTATGGCTTGGGAGGCTCCTGTGACTTGATGGGGTGGTCCTGAAGTTCTAACGCTAAAAGCCCTCCTACTCATCCAAAAGGGAAGGAAACATCCATAAATTATTCTGTGTGCTGGCGGGGAAGCTCAGAAGTATAGCATGATAACCTAATTTTGTCTAGTTAATTTCCAAATTTCATATTAGAATTCTGACAGAATTTTCAAAATAAATATGCTCCAAAAACCTACCTTGTATATTCTTCTTGTAACTTGTTGGGGTCACTTACAAAAAATTTGACTCTAAAGTTCAAACTATAAGGAGATCCTCCTAGAATTAATAAAAGCAGTACTAATTAATCAGATTATATTAATCCTTTATCTTTATAACATTTACTTTTAAAACATCAAGTAAAATGTATACTCACTCTTCAGCTGCTTCCTTATTGGTTTATTTGGATCTAGCCACCTCTGAAAAGTAAGTAAAGAAGACTGATTTCTATTTTCCTTGAGGAACTAGTATGTCAGTTCTTAAAAATCTATTCCACTTGAAAATTAACATTAAAAAATGCATTTTTAAAAACATCTAGATGGGGAAATAATCATTACATCACAGATAATGTTATTTCATTTGAATTTCCCATAAAATTATATACTAAGCAATAATCTCTTTTTCAAACAAAGATGTTTGGTAACTACAGCAATCTGAAGTGATATCTATAAATTTAACTATTTTATCTGGCAAGTTAAAAAACTTACTTTCATAAAATAAAATGTTGGGCTTTACATTCACTTAAGAGAAATTGTGAACTACAGAACTTAAAAGTTACTCCATAAAATAAAATTTACAATTTTTACTGTATTCCTCAAAAAAAATTTTTTTTAAATTTAAAACTCACTAATTTCATAAGAGATAATGTTTAGTTTGGGGAATGATTACTTTTCATTTATGATAATTTAAAACAGTCTCATATATCTGAGTGCCAGTGAAGGTTTATTTCTGGAAAATTATACTGAATTCAGAAAATATTTACATTGCCAATATGTTTCAGTTTGAAAATATTAAAGAACCCAAAATGAGATACTAAAAATGTGGTAGTGCTTTCAAAGAACTATATAGATATCTCAATAGCCCAAAAATGGCACTTTCAATTTTAACATACTGCGTATGCAATTTTAATCAACACAATGGCAAATGGTCACAAATCTCCTACCTACAAGCCTTCTTTCTCACACCTCCCTCTGTCAGTATCCTCTCAGGTACTTTTAGCCCTAACTCCGTGGTCCACCCCTCTGTTCACGACCTGTTCTCCTTGCCAGACGGACTCCTCAGCCCCCACCTTAGCCCAGACTCCCAAGTGACTACTTTTGATCTGGCGGATCACTTTATAAAAGTTCATTCTGCCTGTGAGGCCCCTCTTGATAAAATGCCATTTTATTCTTATCTTGTATATGTTACTGTTTGGACTTAATTGCTTAAAATTATTGTAAAATGGGTGCAGGAGTTTCCTCTAGCTTTGGTATTCAAGTTTGCTTATTTGAAAAAAATTAATTAACCTTTCAATAGGTTTTTGTCTTCCTTCTGTATCTGTAGGCCAACTGGGAGTTAATTTGTTTCTAAAACAGTACTTTTTATTGTTGTTTTGTTTTTTTGGTTTCATTTAAAAAGTAAATAGATCTCTGTATTTCAAGGTTATACATTTTTCTACATTTCATTTAATGCAGAGATAATACTCCAGGGCAACAGGACATAATAATAAGCTATTCTTATATCTCAGATGTCACTGGACACCTAAATAATCTCGTTCTTGACCCTACATCCACCTTGAGGCAGGAACTTTGTTATTGTTCCCTCCCATGGCTAATTGACAAATGTACCTTTCATCTCCAACTTAAAATACTGTTTAATTAGTATGCTTAAGACATTTCTTGTACATTATAAATTCTTACACTGTAATTATAGTGTTACCTTGCTCTTTCTGTATTTTCTTGATTAAAAAAAAACTCAAGGTTACAAATACTCTATTATCAACCATCAAATTTTAAAGTATAATATTCAAGAAATAAAAAAGGCAACATTTAAAAATTTTAACTGAAGCCAAATTTGTTATGAAAAATATATATTAAATGAGCTAGAAATATATATATATATATTTTAAAAGGCTACAAATAAAGGGAATATACTTTTGATATAAAAAGATTTTATATGTTTATCTTGTTAGAAGACTAAAGAGAGATTACATAAGACCAGAAGGCCTAGGTATGTTGAGAAGGTATGTGGAAGTGATTTATCAAAGAAATATATATGTTTGCTTGTTAGCTTCAAGTTTGTTATAAAAGATTTACATTTACAGTCATAAAGAGCTTTCATTTCTTCTGATTCTACAAGAGATCTTTTAATTGACCTACAAAAATTTTGATTAGTCTTAATTAAGAGATGTTATAATTCAATTGGCCAAATATATTTGAATGCACTCTAGTTTCATAAACTGTCTTATATGTTTGTCTGTGTCTGTCCAACTGTTTGAAAGTGTCTGTCCAATTATATTTTTTAATCAGAATGACATCAAAGGCACAAATAAATTATTAATTTCTATAATCTGGTTTTACAGGTTAAATTTAAAAAATTGTCAAGATAATTAAATATAAATTTTTAGGTCTGGATAGACTCCCACTGGTGAATAAAGAAGCAGCTGCTCAGAAAATTTTATTCTGGTCTTTGTTCATTAATGGGAGCCCCAATAATCTTCATAGCCTTATGGGAAGACATATTCCCAATAAACATTGCTAAATATATTGTTACAAAATATTTACATTGGTTATCATCAAAGGGTTGAGTTCTAAATATGTTATAATGTTTATAATGATATGTTTCTAATGGTCATCTTCAAAATATAATATTTTCTGTGGAAAAACAAAGAGTTATCAAAAAAGATCCTTTTGGTAATAAGGGAAAAGAAAAAAATATGAGAAAATGAAAAAATGGAAATAAAGTGTTTGTAAACGAGGAGGGGAGGAGGGGGTTAAGGGAGGGCAGGGACAAGGGGAAAAAATGAGACCCAAGACCTGTCATGTAAAGGTACAAGATCCCAATAATGAATGTAACTATATTGTATACCTAAAATATACCAATAAACTCAATTTTAAAAAATGAATAAATGAACAGAAAAAAAGATCCTTTTGGTACCTTACAGGACATAAGGTTTCATCTAATTGTAATAACAATAATAATAATAATTATTATTATTATTTTTTGGTACCAGGGATCAAACTCAGGTCCTTGTGCTGGTGAGGCAGGTGCCAGAACCACTGAGCTAAATCCCCAGCCCTGTAATAATTATTATTACTACTTTTCTGGTGTACAGAATGTATTCATGTCAGAATGACTATACAGGTCTTCCAACATATCATTTATGGCAATAACCTTTTGATCCAGGTATTTGCCCTTCTGTTCTGTTCCACCTACTCATGATTATAGGTGCATGCATTTTCTTTAGATGGCATCTTATCAAAAGATAATAAGAGTTTTCTGGGGTTTTTTAATGTGTGTTTAGAGGGGAATAAATACATTTAACAATGGCTATTTTATATTGATACATTTCTAAATTTGTTGCAAAGATAATGTCATCATGATTGTAATGGTAAAATATTATTATTATGTGTGGCTACTGACTCAAAGTTTTTTCTGTTAATATTTTACAGGAAATCAACCACTAGAACAACCATGATTGATAAAAATAACAGTCCTCTAACTATATTTTAGATTCCAGGGTGCTTGCTATCCAGATAAAGTTATGATAGTTAAGCTCACTTCTCCTACTGTATTACTGATGTCACTGATCTTCTCTTCTGGGTGTTCTCCACCAAAGGGCAGAGACTAACACTAAAAGGTAACTGGTCTAAGACCACCACCGATAATTTTTTTTTAGACCACCACCAATATTTTGGCCCTGGCCCTCCAAGGTTATCAAAGATCCAAAATATGAAGGAATCTTTTCTACAACACCTTACATATTTGCTAAGTCACCCTATCTCCTGAGCAGAGACTGCTGGACACCACAGGACAAATGTAATGTGTCCCAAAAGAGGGTCACTATGAAAAAAATCTCCCATGCTTTTACTGAAAGCAACTTCATTAAGCAAGGCCCGTGACCCATCCTAATGGCTGACACTGACAGGAACTGAGAGGCTCTATGCATGATTCCAAAATAATGCCTAAAAAGACTTAATTGACCTTGACTGATAGCGAGATGCTCATATTGATTAACACAGGTTTCACTTTAACTTGGTCTTAAACACTCAGCAGAAAAGAATGACCAAAAGAGGCAGTCAGTGAACAGACACTAGCGATAGAGAGATTCTGAGGTTCTACCTCCCTATTAAGGAATAGATTTCCAAGTGGTAATCCAGATAACCCAGTCTCAATAAAGGCTATAACACCTATTTAATATCACCCTCCACTATCTCCCTGTCAATATCTCAGACTGTTGGATGTGTATGTTCGTTTACCACTTCTTGTTCACCCAATTCCCATCCCCCTAGATTTTAACCTATCTCAAATACTGGCAATTTATCCACAGTTCTGGGACCCTTCGCTATGTGTCTCCCATTCCCTACACAAACCATTAACCTGACATGCATGGGACAAAATGACAGCATCACTTGCCTTGCTTGATCCCTTTTTATCTCAGAAGATGTCGATCTGCCTGTCCAACAGGCTTTACTTCATATGTAATCAAGAGGCATTCCAACTGATGCCTCAATTAGTCTGATGTTTTGTTACGTCCTTCCTTAGCCCTCCCATGACCATTTACACAGAAGCCCAGATGTCTAAACAAGTTCTCCCACAGAACACAAACAGAAAAAGGGCAGGTCCCCTTCTAGTCCCCCCCTTCTTAATTGGAGCAGGAGTCCTCACTGGAATGGCAATGAGGATTGCAGGCACTTCTACATCTGCACATTTCTATCAGGAGGCCCTGTCCATAGAGGTTTCGGGAGACATGGATAAAATATGCCGGTCCTTAAATACAGTATGAGATCAAATAAATTCTCTAGCTGCAGTCGTATTACAAAATAGAAGGGCTTGACATGCTCACAGCAGCCCAAGAGGGAACATGCCAGGTGTTAGGTGAAGAATACTGTTATTTCGTTAACCAGTCAGGGGTTGTTAAAGCAAAGGTTAAAGAATTACAGCAGCACATGAAAGAGTGAAGCGCACAATGGGATTCTTGGGGAACAGACCAGAGCTATTCCTGGCTTCCCCAAATTATGCTTTGGCTACTTCCCTTGTTAGGCCCACTGGCCTGTATATGTCTTTTAATCATGATAGGGCCCCATCTGTTTTGCTGTTTTCAAAATTTCTTGCAGGGACTCATGAGGGCATTTACCAACCAGACAGTCACAGAACTCCTCACGGTCAGGTATCGGTCACTGTGGCAGAGGGAAGAAGCCCCACCTGCCGCCGACCCCATCTGATAACAGGTTTAACCCCAACCTTCGCCCCTTTGCCATCTTGAAGCAACTCCAGAAGAGACCTTTGCCCAGTAACTGTAAAACCAAACCCTGGAATGTTAGATTTCCCTTGTCTTAACGGCTGCCACAGGGAACAACGGCCTCCATGTTAAAATATAGCTTCTCCTACCAAAGGGCAGGCTGCATCTTCCAAAAATGCCTCCCTTCCCGGCAAGAAAGGTTACTGATACTTGCTACCTTCTAGCAACTAGTGATGTCACAAGCACCTCAGCGATGTCACAGGCTCCTCCAATCCCTTAAAACTACCTCACTCAACTCCACCCTAGCTCAGGTTAAACCCCACCCCGCTCCTATAAAAGAAGCTCCCTGTTCTGCCATGTTGCTTTCTCTCCTTTGTTCAGAGACAGCCCAGCAGATCCTCTGCATAGTAAAGGCTTGTTATGGTCCTGGTTTTCAGCTCTTTTTAACTAACAAGTTTTAAATTATATTTGCCTTAATGGTTGTCTAAAATCAAAATTGAGATCAATAATCTATCCAAAACCTGACTTCTTTATTCAGTTCCCCTTCAAAATATTCTGACATGAGAAAAACAAATACATTTACATACAGAAACAGATGTGTTAACACAGCTTAGAAGGAGGATAACAGACACCACAAACTTAGACCTCATCAGTGGTATTAGTGAGATAGGACTGAGGTTATTTGCTTAAATCATGAAGACAGCACTGCTATTAGAAGCACTACTGGACACTAAAGATGACATTTATGGTAGAAATATATCAAGTCAAAAGAAAACTTGGGGGAAAATTAACGTATAAAGAAACCCTGCACATCAATAAGAAAAATACCAACACTTAAACAGGCAATGAATAAGGATAGTTCAGAGTTAAGGAAATATAAATGGCATATACATGGTACAAAAAAAGACAATCATAATTAGACAAAATAAATCTACATTAAGTTATTTTTCAATTATAACATTTATGTAAAATTCATGTCATTATTAATTTCAAGATTGGCAATATTTGTCTGTCCTTACAGACCAGTTCTATTTCCTCCTATGCAAAAATATTTGCTTTACTGAGTTGCATAGCTTTCTTAGTGCTGACTTTCCTCAAATACTGATGTCTATTTTGTTGATTACTTTCCACTGAATGTTACCAGTCATATGGGATCACAGTCTGACCTCACCAATCCAAGTAGTCACACTTAGTGGTAGACACTGCTAACTGCTTTGCACAGGGCCAGTGGATAGGGACTTGACTGACCCAGCCAGCTACTTTTGTATGAGTACAACTCCTCCCAAATATTTCTGTTAGTCTCAATGAATTCCTTCTTGCTCACTGCTGAACAAGAAATACTTCTGAAACTAGTCTATTATTTAATAGCTTTGTGATTTCAGGCAATTTACTTCATTTATCAGTATCCCAGTTGCCTCATCTATGTAACAGGGATAATATTTGACTCACAGTGTTAGTAGGCATAAGTGGAACAATAAAATTAAAATACATAGTATACTGTAAGTTATCAGTGTTAGCATGTGCACAGTTTGCCATCTTGCTACAAAAGCATTTATGTTTGCTTTTTCAAATAGCATGCTTATTTAATTTTAAAGAAACTAAATACAAGGTTTTAAGATCATTATGTAAGGCTGCTTTTGAAGCAATCCATGAAACAATGAAAGATACAAAACTAAATAAAAAATTTTGAGTCAGGGAACCAGAAGCAGGATAACTTCTTCAAACAGGATGACAAGGATAGTCTTTCCTATTTACTGGTGAATGAAGCTATTTCTCTATTAAGTTTTATAGGAACTTTATATCAGAGAAACATCTGTCAACTTATGTGATTCCTTTGATACACACATCAAAGTAAATGTCCCTATTCACATATACATGATTATTTACATAGAATATTCTAAGGAATCTATGAAAAATACTAGAATTAATGTGTACTTAGAGAAGTTCTACTATACTGAGCCAATATACAAGCAATTGTAATCTTGGAATTTATCCAAGGAATATAATATAGGTTTACCATTTTTATATGTAATAATCTGTATAGCAATCCTGTGTTATTTTTAAATGCTACTGGAGTTAATAAATGAGTTAATTCTATTATATTATGAACTCACTGTACCTTAACCAAATCAACAAGTACTACTTTTCATTCACTTCTCTTCATACCCTCCAGGCAATCATTAATTTTCCTAGTAACTTCATTATTCCAACTATCTTAAAATTACTGCCTATTAGTCACTAGCTACACTGTAACTAAAGTGATGATATATCTAAAAAGTACAAGTCTCATGCTAGCATGAAAATAAATTCATAGGTAAGTATAACATTAACCTAGAATAAAAGGTACTTCCTGATCTCATATATGGCTAAAAAATAATCTCTTACTGCTTTTCTCCTACTCTAAATACTACCCAAATTAACTTTTCTAATTCTTAAAATAACCCACTCCTGTGTTGAATGTTTACAATGTTGCTGCTTTGCTCTGAAACACTGTTCTATATATCAGCTAGCACTTGTCATTCCTTTCCAAAGTAGAAGAGGATTGAAACAAAAGTGGGGGTGGGGGGGAGAAAAAGAGGAAAAGGAAGAAGCATTTGGAAGGCTTCCCAGCTGGTTTATGCAATAGGTAATAAGAGCCTGAATTAAGATACAGTATTATACTAGAAACACATGGTACAAATATAAGAGAAAAATATTAACGTGAAATATAAGCAAGTATTTCAGTAACTATGTTATACTAAAATCATGAATTGGTAAATACTGGTCTTCTATGTGAAATTTTCTGTATATCCTAAAACTTGGTAAAATAAAGTGACTCAAGAACTTTGCATTACCAAAAACAAAAATCTTCAAAGGATAACTCAAAGTATTCTAAATAAATTAAGTAAGATTTAGTCGTTTTAATAGTTTATTGATTTACATCAGTGATTTGCAAAATATGGCTCTGTGGACCAGCAACACTAGCATCACATGGGAACTTGTTTGAAAGGAAAGTTCCTGAACTCCACAGTAGAGCTTATGAATCAGAAACTCTAGGCACAGGGCCCCGAACTCTGTATTTTAAGAACTCTTCCAGGTGATGCTCATAGGAGTTCAAGTTTGAAAACCACAAGGTTAAGAGATAGGGAAACAACAGTAACCAGTAAAATACCATAATCACAATATAAACTATTAAAAATGAATTTATAAAGATCAAGTCAGCAGTAATCAATAATTTACCTTTTCTCCTACTGATAAATATTTTAATCCAATTTTTTTAAAAAAGTAAATGTACAGAAATAATACAGTCTTGAAGGCTTTGATAAACTTGATTGTACACTTGACTAGCTTGGAGCTGCTCAGGGGATTAGTAAAGTGTATCTTTTGGGTGTGTCTGCATGGATCATGGAGGTGTAGCCTTGGATTCTATACATAATGCCTGGCTCCTTCCTCTCTAGTATTGTTACCACCCAGCTTGCTTCCTGGCTACCATGAATTAAGGAAATGAGCTACACTATGGACTGAATCCTCTGAAACTGTGAGCCAAATAAAACCTTCCTCCTCAAAATTGTAAGGGTCAGGTACATTGTCCAGCAGCGGGAAAGCTCACCAAAACAGCAATTTGGTACCAGAGAATTTCTGTCAATGCTGTGACTACCAGATCATGTGGCTCAGAAGTCTTTGAATGCTTTGCAGGACTTTGGAAAAGTTTTAAGATATGGGCTAGAAAAACCCTAGAATGTTGTAAACAGGACTTACTGAATATTAGATCTCAGAATATCATTATGCTAATAAGAGCACAGATAATTGACGCCTGTCTCACAGGGTACAGAGACTGGATTGGGAATTAGGCTAGAGGCTATGCATATTATACTCTGGCAAAAAAAGTTTCTCTACACTTTGTTCATCTTAAGACTTTGTGGGAAGCTTAAAGATGATGGACTAATTGATCTGGTAGAGGAAATTTCAAGGCAACCAAAAAATATAAGAGAAAATGTTTAACATCTTTAGACACAGAGAAATACAAATCAAAACTACACTGACATTCTTTCCTGCCTGAGCAGAACGACTTGCATCAAGAATACAAAAATCAGGAATGGAGGCTAGGGATTTAGCTCAGTGGTTCCTCGACTTGCCTCACAAGGCACAAGGTCCAGAGTTTGATTCTCAGAACCAAATAGAAAAAAAAAAAAAAGCAGAAGCTTTGCGGGGAATTTAGCTCAGTGGTTCTGCCACCTGCCTTGCAAGTGCAAGGACCCAAGTTCAATCCCCAGTACCAAAAAATAAATAAATAAAAGAATACAAAAACCAATAGAGACAAAGGTGCAAGGGAAAAGAGAACCCTCCTTCCTTGTTGGTGGGAATGTAAGCTAGTATAACTACTAAAGAAATCAGTATGGAGAGTCCTCAAACCAACAAACCAACAAACCAAACAAAAGTAAACAAATTAAAAATACCATTTGATCCAGCCATAGCAAGTACTCCTGGGTATATTTGAAAAAGAATAAAAATTAGCATATTATATTTATATATGTATACCCATGTTTAAAGTGGCAAAAGAATTATAATTATGCAAATTAAAATTTAAAATTCATTAAATTAGTGAACATTGTATTGTAAACAGAGAAAATCTAAAAGGAAAGACAACAGCTTAAACTTACTGGGTTATCTGTGGAATCATCAGCCAACTGCAAACCAAAATAGTCTCGCTCAGTCAAATCAAGATGCCTGAAGACTATATCCAACAGAACTTGCCCATGATCATGTTTCTGGAAGAAAAATAAAATGAAGTCAATTTTAATAAGTTTATATACTTTATGATTTTTAATGTGTTCAACTTTGTCTTCTTTTAAAATGGTATCTGTATTTATACCTATGACTTGAGAGTAAAGACTTCACATATAACATAATACTTTTGAGCAAACTGGTTAAAAGAAAATTAATAAATATGAAGATAAAAAGAAATCTTTGAAAATGTCTCCTGCTTTCAGGCTATCATCATGGTATTTTTATTTCATATTGCTGCCATATTACCGTATATATTTACTCACACCACTTTTCTTCTGTATTTCATTGTTATATTTAAATTATGACTAGCAATGACATAATATAATTATGTATGAAACAATACCAAAAAAGGATAAAAATATTTGTAGCAAACTTGAGAAAGGACTATTATTGTAATTACAAAAGGACTCAGAGATCTTTAGATAAATATCTCACTTTAACCTTATACCAATTCTATCATGAAGACATTATTAATTATCCCTTTGTTTTAATAAGAATTCCAAGTTCCACAGCTACTAAATTATGGTACAAAAGATATAATTATATTATTCCCTATAAAAGAAATAAAACTAATGCATAAAAATACAGTGGAATGATCAGCGTGTTCAGTAATAGAAGAAATGAAACTGGGAAATTACATTAACAAGCCATGCATAAATAACAATGCAAAAAAAAATGCAATGAACAAAACAAAAATACTCAATACTATTAATATTACAGGTAGATACTTTTGAGAAAACAATTTGGAAATATTAAACAAGAGCATTAATAATATCAACTACTTATCACATGCTAGTGCTAACTCAAGTAGCAAAATCCATTTGGGGGGAGAGTTATACACACACCAATATGTTAATTTTACAATTATTTATATAAGACAAATATTAAAACAACATAGTAAACAGTGGTTATTTCCCTACTAAGCTCTCCTCTTATTAGCTACTGGTAGTTTGGAAGCTCTCAGCTATAAGTTCAATTTCAGAGCAGAAACATTAAGGTCGTAGTTTTTTCAAATAATGCAAAGTGTAGAGGTTTAATAGATTCCAAAGCTAGCTGATTCGGCAAATAAAAGATATAATCAAGGGCCATTTTTCTTTCTACTTCTTTCAACAACTCTTGTGTTGGTTGTACATGCAAGCCTTCAGTAGGACTATTATAGAGATTTCAAAGTTCATACCAATCGATACAGCACAATATTAAAAAAAAAAAAACAACCCATTTCCTTGTAAAATTACCTTACAAAAAGACCTGCTCTATTTCTTTTTGTCCAGAACTGGGTCAAATGACTATTTGCCAAATCAATGGCAAGAAATATGTGCTTCGAACACTGCATCTCAATGTTGGTGCAAATATTACCTATTCCTGCAAATATTTCCTATACTGACACAACCTTCCTTCACACCCCTAGGAACTTCTTAGGAATGTGATGTGTCTGAGGGTCTTGGTCACCTAAAAGGTGAATGATGTCTACCTAGACTTTATTAGATCAGGTGTTACCATTTATTTCATCCCCTAGGGAAATGTGTAGGCCTGGTTATTTTGCCTTTTATCTTCAGATCTGGCCTTGTAACTCATGTGCCTCCCACCACAATTGTAATGTGTGTTTTTTTTTTTAATCGTTTATACTTACTCTCTTGAGGGCCCAGCCCTATGTGACTGGCTATAGTATTTTTACCTTACTTAGCTGTTTGTAATAATATCAGTGAGGATGAAGACATATAGACCTATCCCCAAAAGGCAGAATTGGCTAAAAAAGGTAGGATGAGACTTGAAATATGATGTGTCCATGGTCTGGATTAGTCAAATGGGTAATCAGTGGTGCCATTCACTGACAAAGTAACAATATAAGAAATATTGCAGTCTATGAGAAAAATACAGCAATTTATAGCTATGACTCAACCAAAAGAGGAATGGCAGGGGAAAGATGAAAAAATCCAACTGAAAAGTAATCATGTAAACAAATTTCTCATTCCTCATTATTACATTAGTCTTTTTCTGTTACCAATAAGACAATAAATACGGTACCACAAACCAGGTAAGTTTTAACAAAAAGTTATTTGGCTTGTAGTTCTAAAGGTACACACTTGGTGTTGCCTTCCTTGCAAGCAGAATCCTGCAGCAGTATGGAGCTTCAATCGTAAGAGACGGGAAATATGAACATGCATGCTTGCGTTTCTGTCTTTGTCTCTCTTTGGTCTCTTTTGTGTTCTTAGAAAGTCCCTAGGATTTAATCATGCAGGGGCTCTACCCTAATGACTTTAATACTAATCACCTTTCAATAGGTAAATATTATTAAGACTCTTTAAAGTTGAAGAAGCTGAGGGGCAGGGAGATTACATAAACTTTTAAATATCATACAGGTAATAAGTGGCAGAGCTATCTCAGGTTATATGGCTCCCTTAGAACCACTATGCAATACTTTGCTTCAAAGAACTATTTTGCCTTTGTCAACAATGGAAGGCTATTTATATTTAGTTATTGCATCTAAAAGGGAAGTTATTTAAACTGACAATACATGACTGCTTTGTATATACTATTCTAAACCAACTTCCTTTTCCAGCAATATGGAAGATTAGATAATCTAAAAAGTCATGTAACAAAATATCTAGGCATGCTGGATAGAATATAATAGCTACTCTTTTAATTGCATTGCTAACCTAAAGAGAACTCTCCAGCATGCAAAAAGGTAAAAAATATAACTTGGATGTAAGCTGTCCATAGGCTGCCAAGAACAAGCAATCTGCATTATGACACACAGGTGCAACAATATGCAGGCCTTGGGCCCACATAAGGTGAGATATACAGTTCTAACACTTTCCCATTAAAAGAAAGCCTATACTGTCCATGGCAACACTCTGAAAGAAAGGTAAACTGGGGGGAACTGGGGAGAGGGAGTTCCTCTCACCTTCCTAAGATGAAAATGAAGAGGCTTTTCTGTTTCCTAGCAGGATCTGTATAAAGAAAATTCTCTCTTGAAAATTTTTAACCATAAGACTGCCTTCACACTGGGTATGAAATTTGTCTTTACACTAGCTCCTGTCTATAGAACACCCCAAAACAAAAAGCTGTGATTAAAAAAATAAAACTGGGTAAAAAAAAAAAAATCAGTCGAGAAACTTGACTACATATGATTTCCAGAATTAATTATAAGACAAGGCAGGAATTAGTTTATCAATAACTAGAGTTAGCTGAGCTGAATCACACCCCCTCAGAACTTCAAATAATACAACAGATATCAACACATTTTACAGTAGAGGATGGAAAGGCTATCAGAGCTAAAGGCTATCAGAGCTAAAGTTTCAGCATAATTACCAAAGTTTCACACACAAAAAAATTGTGATGTGCTATGCAGCTTATCTATGAATATCATTTACAATCATAAAAATAATGTCCATCAGAATACTAATGTAACCACATTACATCAATTACATTAAAAGGATGAGAAGTGGAAGTATGGGTAAAAGAGAACCAACATTTTATAGTCTAAATTGGGAAAAAATAGGTAATGACTAAAACTCTCAAGCATCTGAAAGAGAGCATGTAGTAATATACAGGTAAATTCCAAGATAATCTATTGAAAAAAACTGCATAGTTGCCTCTATGGAGAAGAGCAAAAGAATGCTGCTTTTTTGTAATATACCTTATAACACAATTAAAATTATTAGGCACTTTAAGCATATATGTAATCTGAAAATATAAAAATTACATAAAAAACTAAACATGTTACATAAAATGAGGCAATGCATAATTCTAGGAAGAGCAAAACAATCATAGTACACATTTTGGCTTAGCAATGAGTAAATAGCATGATCATAAAAAAGTAAACAACACTGATGAAGGCAAAACTATTATCTTACAGACTCAGAAAAAGTCTTTGGAAAAAAAAACTCAATTTACAATTAAAAAAAAACTGAAGAAAACACAGAAGCATACTACCTCAATCTGATAAAGCCATTTATGACAAACCTACTGCCAACATCATATTAAAAGTGGAAAAACTAAAAGCTTTTTCTCTAAAATCACGAACAAGACAAGTATGTCCACTATCACTAGACCTGTTCGATAAAGTACTTGAAACCAGTAGCCAGAACAATCAGAGAAAGAAATAAAAGTGATATGTATGGGAAAGGAGAAAAGGAAGGCAAAGTAACCTTATTTGCAGATGACATGATCCTTTACATAGAAGATCCAAAAAGATCTACCACAAGACTCCTAGAACTAATAAATTCAGCAAGGCAGCAGGATGCAAAATCAACACAAATAAATGAATGGCATTCCTGTATACAAATAATGAACCTACTGAGAAAGAAATCAGGAAAACAATATGATTTATAATATTCAAGAAAAATGAAATATTTAGGAATAATCTAATAAAGGAAGTTAAAGGTCTCTATAATAAAAACTATACTACTCTGAAAAAAGAGATAAATGGTATATCAGAAAATGGAAAGATATCCCCATTCCTGGATAGGCAGAATCATAATTATCAAAATGATCATACTACCACCACTGATATAGATTTAATGTAATCCCAACTAAAATAACAACAGCATTCCTCACAGAACTAGAGAAAATAATCCTAAAATTCACGTGGAACAGTAAGAGACCCAGAATAGCAAAAAGCAATCTTGCGAAATGAGAGCAAAGCATGAGATTTCAAATTATATTACAAAGCTATAGTGATAAAAACAGCATGCTACTGGCAAACACAGACATGTGCACCAATGCAACATAATGGTGGATGTAGAAATAACCCCGGGGCCCATTCAGCTATCTGATCTTTGACAAAGGGGACAAAAATATATGCTGGAAAAAAGCCTCTAACAAATGGTGCTGGAAAAACTGGCTATCAATCAGAAGATTGATTTTAGATTCATATCTCTCACCAGGTACTAAAATAAAATAAAAATAGATCAACCATCTAGATGGGGCACAAAGAAGGGAAAGGAACGAAAAAAAAATCAAGATGTGTTACATCCAT